GTTACGTAATTCCAGAAACGTACACGCGTACGAACGTTTCCTTTTGACCTGCTTATTTTCATTGGATCGAGTACCGAATGGAAGAAAAAACGAGACTCGCCGTCGAGAGTCACCGGTTCCTTCAAACGCGTCAGTTCTCGGCCTGCGGGCTCTCCCGGCTTCTTTACGATTTTACGCGTCTCTTGCTTCTCTGGCCGAGCGTCTGCAATGCGTCTGTGAGATGTCAGGAATTTTTTCTTCCTAGCATATCCATAAAAAACCAACGAATCTCTTGCAGATGCCGGCGAGCTCGTCTCTCCCTCCGCGAAACAAATCGTCTTCTCCTTCGTTAGCATTTTCAAACTTTGCTACGACTGTTCCTCGCGGCGAATGTTAATTAAAACACGACCAATTCATTTCTTCTTGGCGATTATTTCCCCGCTCGCCAGTTGGCCAACGACTATACTTCTTTTTCGTGCATCTGTTTGCACGTACTTTTCTTCTTTTCCGATTTTTCTTGTATCGTCCATCGTCGAAGAGTTCATGCAACCACTTGGCTACGCACCGACCAGAAAAACAGATCGCGTACACACCGAACAAATGAAAGTTTCGTTGCCGAGTCGTTGAAAAATTCTCATGCGCGCTCACACACTGTGATTTGCGCGAAAGAAATAACCAAGTTTCCTTAGACTTTTAGAGGCCGTTGTAATAAATAGAACAGCGAAAGGTAGAGCTTCGCGGTTCTTTTTTTTTCGCCTCTCTTTCTATTTTTTCCTTTTTCATTTGAACATCGTCAGTATACGGATTTTACGCTGCTAGGTCTTACGATCTTTTTAGGTCTAAATATCCCGTTGCTATGCTCGACAGTTCGGTGAAGGAGGAACCCGTGACGGTGAAAAGTACAATCTCCTCTTCTATTCTAGTTGATGAAAACGGTGCCGGTTGTCGTTCAACGCACGGTCTACAACCAGGAAATTTATCGGTTACAGTATTTGGTCTTGGCCTGTGCTCGCAATTCGACATCTCCTCGCGCTCGGCTCCTCTGTTGGTGGAGCGATGCACCAGTGCCTTGGAGGAGAAGGCATTCGAGGACAGCACGCTGGATTTGTACAAAGTCTACCACAGTAGTCCTCCGAACGAGCAAACGTTGGAATTACGGCAAAAATTGAACGAAGGTAACTTCTATTGTCCGGTTCTATCATCTTACTGAAATCGTTGCTCTCGAGTAATTACGTTTGTCGTTGAATTTTCAGATGTATGTAACGCCGATTTAAGTTCATACAGTGCTCAGTGTATAGCGAGCGTTTTGAAAAAGTTTCTACGTGAATTGCCAGACCCTGTGATCCCTGTACAGTTTTACGACAGATTTATAGAAGCATCCAGTGAGTCCTATCCTAAGATAATAACGCTTTGTTT